ATCGGGACTAAATGGTGAAAAAAAATATCATGAAAACAAATAAATTATACTTGAGACTTGTAAATTGGCCAAGTCCTTGCAATGATCTGGATCAAAAAAACTTGTGGATCAACAATTAAATTTATATATCTGATTAAGATATTAATCAAATGGATGTGGTTTGTATACGGTGTTAACTTTAAACAATCAAAGTGAGGTACATCTCTAAGTGTTGCTCAAAAATGTAGTTTTAGCGCCAGAGACCCTTATGATAGCCTAAAAATATTTTTTTATTTTTAATTATGAAATTTAAAGCTCCAAAAGTAGTGGATATCAAGAAGATCTATAAACACTTCAAAATGTTTGGAAAATAGGCAGTCGAGATAATGTGTTACAAGTGGAAATTTAAAATCTTTTTTTTTTTTCCATATCCATATATCTTGAGGTCGAGATGATTGAGTTTGATTTAGATACTAATATTTGATTAATACCTTTGCAATTTGGAGTACTTAGCCGCCATTCGATTATAAGGCTACAGTCTTCAGTTCCATGTCCTCCTTACCAACGAGAAAGAGAGAGATTCATATTCTTGAAAAGTGTAAATTAGTCCAACGCAAACATGAAACGCACCATTTTACACACATACACCAAAAAGGGCAAAAAAGAGAGAAATGGTTTGATTTCAAAGCTCAATAGATGAAAGAAGTAATTAAATATAAAATATAAAACCATTTAAATTTTTTTTCTAAAATTAAAAAAATATGCTATATTGAGAAATATAAATAATTTTAGTTCACACTAGAATTTATAGGACTTTACTAAATACTTGTTAGAGATGGTCCTTTCATAGGAATTTACTAAATGCTTCTTAGAGATGGTCAAATACTTATTAGAGATGGTCCCTTCATAGGAATTTACTGAATACTTCTTATAGATGGTCCCTTCATAGGAATTTACTAAATACTTCATAGGGATGGTCCATTCTTTTCACTCACTTCCACCACTTAAGCAATTGAAACCAACAAGCCAAAAATTGAAAGGGGAAAATGAACTAATATATCCTTACCGTTCCTTGCACATATTCCTCTTTTTCTAAATGTAAGAATTATGCCTTCTTTCCCTAAACCCATCCCTTATTTCCTTATACAAAAACTCATATGTAGAATGGTATCACCCATTAATGGATCAATCAATAAAGGAGAGGTTGTTTTGCTAAGTTGCTACATAAAGACTTACTTCTCTCTCTCTAGACTTGAACCCCTCTCTCTCTCTCTCTTAATTGGTTCTATTGGACTCTTACCATCTCTTAACTCTTTCCACTGCTTTCTCATGTTTCTTTTAGGGGAATGTAGCACTCAGGAACTCTTGTTGCGTTCACGCTCCCATACAAGAAGAAGAGCGTTTAGCATAGTTATCAAGACCGGACCAAATAAAGTGGGTAACTTTTTTTTTTTTTCTAATATATCACATATTTTTTAAAAATTATTTATTTTTTAAATATTTTTAAAATCTGGTCAAATTTGTTAAATCAGTGGTGCGATCGATTTTGATTGAATCAGTACTCTCATCCGTTTAGCAGTCGGTCCTGATTGCACTGGTGTGTAGCAACGCTGCTCGAGAAAGCGGTTTTATACCTTCGTAAGTAGAAGCTAATTTCTTGGAAATCTCTCTCTATCATAAAGGTTTCCATTCAACCAAACAAGCTCTTACAGGTTTTCCCTAGTCTCCCCCTTTCTAGAGAGAGAGAGATCACATCCTTGGTGTTAGTGCCATTAACATTTGCCACTGGGAACTCAGCATGGTAAAAAGAGGAAAGATGAAAGTGTCAGCATCAGCCTTGTGACAATTCTTTGCCCGTTTCAGGCTGTACATGTTGTCGATGCTTCTCTCTCTGTCTCTCCTCTTTCTCTCTCTCTCTATATAATATGAAAATGTACTCTCTCTCCTCTTTCTCTCTCTATATATACTATGAAAGTGTACTCTCTCTCCTCTTTCTCTCTCTCTATATATACTATGAAAGTGTACTCTCTCTCCTCTTTCTCTCTCTCTATATATATACTAGGACAGTGTACTCTCTCTTTCTACACTATGGAAAGTGTACTCTGAGGCCATCAAAGCATTACACATGATATGATGGATACAAGGCCTAGGGCTCATGATCCACAGCACATGACCAACTGAACATTAAGTCTCAAACATGCATACGGAAACAAAGGGGAAAATAAAATAGAAAAAGTTGCACACAGCAGCAACTACCGCGCCATTGCCATTGGTAAGCACCTCATCACGGCATTGGAACTATCTCATCATTCTTTTCCCTGATCTATTGCTATTTCCCCCTCGGATACCCCCATCTCTCTCTCTCTCTCT